TTTTTAAAAGCTTGGAATGCTTTAACGGTGCAATTATTTAAAATAAAAATTCCCTCGTTGCTTATGAAATAATTTGTATCTCATAACACGTTTCAACCCTTATAAATCACCCCTGTGCTAAAAAAATGATCAAAAATTACGTTTTAAATCTTGGAGTGCTATAATTGTGCAATAATTTAAAATAAAAATTCCCTTATGTTGTTTATGAAAGAATATTTTACATTTGCCATTTTCAACACTTATAAACTACCCTTTTACCAATATTAATGTAAAATATTTTTATTATAATCGATTTTTAAATACCGCACTTGAATCCTAACATTTTGCTCCAAAAATGAGAAAGCCTATTTTGCTCCGCAAAAATGTCATTGGTCTTTTTTTACCAGAACTCGGTAAATTTTGAAGCTATATGTAGTATCCTGCAAAAAAGCATTGTAAAGATAATTGCAAGAGCTGTATGATCGTTTGCATATAAAACCTTTTAAGTCCTTCGTTTTTTAACGGGAAAGGATCGAATGGCTCGAGACAGATCGTTATTTCACTAAAATAGATACTTCAAGCGGCGATATCTCCTTTATTTTTTATGCTATAGGAATAAAAAAAACAAAATATTTGTTGAAAAAAAGCTAAATTTTTGTTGTTTATCATGTTTTACGTATCTTTTGTAGTTTCAGAGTTATTATATAAATAAGGCAATTTTTTTTGAATAATGAAAAATACGTTTTCAACTTTTATCGTACATTATTCAAAAAATACGCATTCTAAACCGGTCTAACTTCAGGATCGTATGAAAAACACTAAAACAAATCTAATTGTAAAGGGTCTACGATTAATTTTAATTCTGATGAAAATGATACAGCGTTTACTGCCCATTTTTCCTTAAAAAATTTGAGCAACCCAATTGTTTTTGACGATAACTCCTTCAATTTTGCTCTAATTAACCTAATCTAATCTAATTAATAAGTGCTTATTTTGAAGGTCTTTTTGAGTACTACAAAAAAACTCCGGGAGCGTTATACACGTAAAATTAATCCTTTTTCCGTTATTTGACGTTGAATACATCGATTCGAGTATTCCCCCTAAAACAAGTCCCCTTCCACTAACCATATTTCGCTTTGTATAGGACGTACAACACTTTTTAAAAAACGATTTTCTTTGTTTATTTATAAGCTACATTTTTCGTTATACGGGAAAAATACTTTGAAAGTGTTTTTTTTCACTCAAAATTCCAAGTTTTCAATCATGAATAACTAAACAACTATAGATTTCTCGAAAAAATTCTTCAAATATTTTTTGCCCAAAATTTGATTCTATCGATTTCCAGTGTTATTTTTGAAAAAAAATGTCCACCCCCGAGAAGGAGTATCGACCCCAACAGGGTGGAAGCTATGTCACTAATGTTCATTGACCTTTTCTCTATCTGCCAAATTTCAAGTCGATTGGTTCAGTTTCAAAGAATTCGGAGTTGAAAAGCTTCAATGACTGTACTAAAAATACAAAACTACAAATACAACCCGTAGAAGCCCCTACATTTGTTTAAAATACATAAAATACTTTTTTGAATAGCTAACGCTTGTTACTGTAAAACAAAACTGTTTAAAGAGAATCCATTTATACTCGTACGCTATTGACCCTAATCAGCTTTGTCGCCGTTATTAATATTCTTTGTAAATAACATATAATGACATAAAATTATAAACCTCAGCAGCGATAATATACCTGGGGGAGGGGCGTCATCACAATCACTGCGAAACCTGTCACCAGTTCCAAGACCAGTATTCGAAAGAACGGAATGGTTAGACTTTTTATAATACTCCTCATTTACATCGTTGGCGCCTGGTCCTCTAAGCGACTTATAAAATTCTCGCTCGTACAAAAGATTCGCGTTCCTGTATCCCAAATTTTTTGAAAATTCCTCAACCTCTAACTTTGTCTTCCAACTGGAAAAACGTTAAAATTACTTTTTCGGTCATGGTACAAGAACCTCAACATACTTAACGCCATGCTTTCCTTTACACGTCACACGCTCGGGATTGTAAGAACCAGGCCCAGCTTTAGTTATTTCTTTCTTCATGGCTCCAGTAACATCGAGCTCAGGATGAAAACCGATCTTATTAAACCGTTTTGTCGCCACCCCGAAGGGGGCATTGGATTTTTTAGAGCAGTGACCCATTTCGAAGTGTATAAAAAAACAAGAAACAAAACACTCAAATTTTGACAGCCGTCAAAATATTATTGGGTCACTATTGTTTATTTTGAAATCAAGAGAACTGGCTAATGTTTTCAGCACTGGTAAAATTCAAGAGTGTATTCTATGGCTAAATTTAAAGCAATTTGTTTAGAGAAACATCAATTTAACATTTTCAATGTTCATTTTACTGCTAACATACCATATTAATTCCATAATATACTCCAGTTGAATTAGTTGAATGCAAAAAAAAAATTAGTAGACATTGTATTGCACTTTATGACAGGGATAGTATCAAAAAATAACTTGAAAGAAGTGACACTAAGTTGTCAAATTGCAAATAAGGGGCATATTTACGTGTTTTTTCACTTTTTTTTACCACCCACGAAAATTTAGAGGACCTATAGGAAAATTGGTCATTTTATGTTGTAGGCAGTAATTAAATTAGCTTCAATTTAAGGTATCTATGGTCATATTTCACCAGTTTGTTCACTGTACAATAAAGGTTGAACGTGGAAAAATCACTTTTCCAAAATTGCATATTATTGTTGCAAAAAGCGATGGATGTTGACGAAATTTATGGAAAAGACGGTCAATCCAAAGACCAACATGTGTACCAAAGGCCAATTCGATTGACCGTGAAATTGTTGCTCCAGGCATTTGTTANAGACCGGGAGATGGCTCTCGTTTGTATAATTGATAATTGTATATTGACAATGCAAATGATATTATTGATGCATTTGCAGATTTTTTCTCTAAATCTTATTTACCGTCATCTTCTAACAGCAATGACTCATATTCCAGCAATAACATTAATGATATACATATTCACGACTTCACTGAAACCGAAATTCTTTCAGCATTAAAGAGAATTAAACCCAAAATGACTAATGGTCCGGATGGTATTCCCGCGTTTTTGATAAGAGACTGTGCTCAAATTTTTTCTCGTTCCTTAAAAAAGTTATTCAAGCCTAACTGAGTGTCGGTTACCTGATTTGTGGAAGCGTTCAAAAGTGTGTCCAATTTTTAAAAAGGGTGATACATTTAACATTACTAATTTTCGTCCTATCTCCATTATATGTAATTTTTGTAAATATTACTTCATGACTATATTTATTATAGCATCTCTAATATCATAACACCTTGTCAGCATGGTTTTATGAAAGGACGTTCTACTGTCACTAACTTGATCTGTATTACGCAATTTATAGCCGATTCTATAGACAACAACTTACAAACTGATGTTATATACAGGGTATTAAAAAAAGAGTGTAAAATATTTAAGGAGGTAATAGTATGAACCAAAATAACGGTTGCGGAGATATGGAATGTTTTATGTTTTTTAGCCCCTTTTTTTATTTTGCAAAAAC